ACATGCTGAAATGGGCACAGAGCTTATTGATCACTTAAACCCACAAGAGAAGGACCTTTTGTCTAGATTGAACCCTGAAATAACAGATCTTAAGGAGCAGCTTATCAGTTGCAGGAGTGATCGCATTGAGGTCTGCTCACTGAACCTTATCTGATTTCTTTTGCAGTGACTTGTGTCCGCTAACATACTTTGTCCATGTACAAATTCTATTGCTAGACTGAAACGAGAAAAGCAGAACTTGAGACTAATCTCACAACCAACCTTAAGAGGCGGAAACAAGAGTTGGAAGCAATAATATCTGCGGCAGAGGCTGACACGTTGCTTGATGAAGCTGAATTAAAGAGGCATGAGCTGATGGATTCTAAATTAGTGGTTGAAGATGCAACACAGCAGCTGAAAAGTAAGAGCTTTTAGTAGTTGCCACAATATTTAGTTATGAAGTTAAGATCTAATGTTCAGTGTTCACATTGGTTTTGCTATGCAGGAGTTTCTGATAGAATTGATGAACGAACAAAGCAACTTAGGGCAATCAAGGATGAAAAGAACAATCTAAAGGTAGTTAGTTCTCTGATAAGGTTTAGCACAAATCCTTGATATTTATTTTTGCAGCTGAAAAGATCACTTGCTAGTGCAGGGTTTGGAAGATGCCTATGAGAGGACACTTCAGGATGAAGCAAAAGAGTTGGAACAACTATTAAGTAAAAGGAGTAATCTTCTTGCTAAGCAAGAGGAGTTCTCAAAGAAAATAAGGGAGCTGGGTCCTTTGTCGTCAGATGCTTTTGACACGTATATCTTCTGCCTGAAATTTTAGTTTCCTTCCTTACTTCATTTCACCTCTAAATGGTATTTGGACTTCATAAAAGTTGTCAGATACTTGGTCTCAGATTATGTCTCAGTGAATTTATTTAAGGATTTCTTATGTTCTCTAGTTAAGTTTAGCGGTATTTTAATCAATGTACATCATGTTTTTCTTTGTTCTATTTGATTCTATTTGATATGTAATAAAATTTGGTGGTTTTTATTTGTTTCCCTTAGTTATGATAGTATCTGCTTATCTTGGCAACATATAGTTTTTCTTTTAAAAGAAATTATTTAATTCTTTCATTGCCATGTTGAAAATTATAGGTATAAGCGAAAGCAGGTGAAAGAGTTGCAGAAAATGCTTCATAGGTGCAATGAGCAGCTGCAACAGTTCAGCCATGTGAACAAGAAAGCACTTGACCAGTATGTAAATTTCACAGAGCAAAGAGAAGAACTGCAGAAAAGGCAGGCTGAGTTGGACTCGGGCGATGAGGTAATACTAAACCTAAATTTCCCAGTAAATGCGGCTATCATATGAACTTTGCTCAGCTTAACCTTGTATATATATGATTATATATTTTTTTTTACAGAAAATTAAAGAACTTATAGCAGTTTTAGATCAGCGGAAGGATGAATCAATAGAACGCACTTTCAAAGGTGTTGCCCGACATTTTCGAGAAGTATTCTCTGAACTTGTGCAAGGTGGTCATGGTCATTTGGTGATGATGAAGAAAAAGGTTTGTTGGGCTTAAGTTTATTTATTTTTTATTTCATCTTTTTGAATTATATGGTCTCTCATCTCTTGGCTACTTTGGTGTTTGATTTATTACTTTGCTGGCCAATGCATAGTTCTCTAGACTGGTGAACTTCTCACTTCTGATTTATGGTTTTGGAGGGTCCAAAAAATTATTATTATTTTGTTTTGCTCTGTCTTCAATAGGTGCACCTCCTTGTCTTGCCATCTGGAGGCTTCAATGTTTTCTTTGGGATGAATTTCTTATTAAGATATTAAGATAGGTCCTGTCAGTCTCTTTTTTCTTTAGTTCTGTGGTTATGTTGGAGCTGGGCTAGAACCTCAGCCCTGTGGGAAGTCCATCCCCTAATGGGGTTGGGTGAACCATCGGGACCAAGCCTGAGGTTCGATATGTCCTGTCGGTGATTTTGCTTCAATCTAACTTATATCTTATGTTTATGGGAGCTGTAATGAGAGGATGGACCCCTAATCTTTAGATTAATTTCAATTTCTCAATTTGATCTTGTCCCCACCCTTATCTCGCCAATGAATCCACTTGTTAACTTGATGTGCTTTTGTTGCAAGATATAATTTTGTTGAGTTCATGGCTTATTTATGTTAGACTTACACTTTAGAATCAAAACCTAGATAAATCATAATAGAATTTGAAGAAACATTCTGTATTTGACCCTAGTTTCTCACCTATATAAATAAAGAATTTCTAGGCAAATGAGGAATGAAGGAAATATAGCAATTCTGTTATAACAGTTGTATTTTCTTTTCCAAAGGATGGTGATCGTGCTGATGATGATGATCATGATGATGATGGACCTCGTGAGGTGGATTTGGAGGGAAGGGTTGAGAAATACATTGGTGTAAAAGTGAAGGTACGTATATTTATGTAGTCACTTATTTTCGTTAACAAAAGTGAAGTGGTTAACTATTGAAGCTTGTTATTTGCTTGACCTTGCTGGACATAGATGTGTATGTGTTGCATTCTAATACTATGTAGGAATATTACTGGTCTAGTTCTTATTTGTTAATTTTCATATGTTGGTCCATATTTTGAAAGTTGGTAGAAGGTTACATGTGAAAGTTAAATTAGGCCTAGAATTCTTAGATTTTACAGCTGAATCTGGAAGCGAATTCCATTTCCTCTTATGCATTCAAATGTAATGTTTCTAAGCTTTGTTATTGATGTGGTAGGTTTCTTTTACTGGGCAAGGTGAGACTCAATCAATGAAGCAGCTGTCTGGAGGACAGAAAACTGTTGTAGCCCTCACATTAATTTTTGCGATTCAACGATGTGATCCTGCTCCCTTTTATCTTTTTGATGAGATAGATGCAGCGCTGGATCCTCAATACCGAACTGCTGTTGGAAGTATCCTATTTCTCATATATAAGATATTTAGCTCTGTCAATGATTAATGTTTGTTTTTGGTTCCATTTCTAATTCATCTCTATCTTTATAATTATTCTTTCTCACCTACACTTCATTTTTCGAAGGTGATGCTTGCAGAATGGGGGAAATGTGGGGGATAGGGGCAAATTTGTGACCATCTAGACCCCAAAGAGTGGAACTTGAATCCTAATGTTGTGTCATTAAGAAACAAATGATTTAGTTCTAAAGGTGTTTCACCGTTTCTTGAGCATCCATTGCTGCAATATAAACCTTTTGCTCCTTGCAGTCCTATACCTAAATTACTTTCTGTGGTTGATTAACTACCTGTTGGAAGCTGTCTCCATGAGGAGTTGAAACCAAACTGCGTTTTGGAGAAAAGGTGGCAATTTTGCAGGTTGGGGTGGGTTTCAGATTAGTTTGCATCATTCGAGGTTCAGGTTTCTCTGGTGTTGTGTTTGGTCAAGTTAGGTCAATTGGATCAAAGGCCATTCAGGTCAATTGGGTCAATGCATCTTAGACACTGTTCATTATTCTGGAACAGTGTCTGTCTCATGTCTTAGCAATTGAACAAAGGAATTTATTATACACAACAGACTGCATTGTTGCAATTTTTTGCTGCTCAAACATTATGCCCTAGTAGGGAAGAAAACACGAGGAAAAGAGCCTGCATGATTGATTTGTTTCTGAGGGTTGGAAATATTTTAATCAGAATGTCTTCCATGGCATGTTGATTTGCCTTTACAATCTCCCTTTTATAAGGTAATCAAGTTGCTCTTATTGATTTTTCATTTTCACAGTTCCTTTCATTTACCTTCAGCATATCCTCATTTTTCTTTCTTAGCACTTGGTTTGTCTTGTATAATTCTCGTATAAGTGAACTATGCTATTGCGTCATTCTTTCTTTTCTGAAGGTAAGTAGAAGGAATGATATTTTTGGATTGCTGGTAGATCCTTAATTACCTCTTGTCTAGATATGATTCGTCGTCTGGCAGACATGGCAAATACACAATTCATAACCACCACATTTCGGCCAGAGCTTGTCAAAGTTGCTGATCAGATATATGGGGTGACACATAAAAACAGGGTGAGCAGTGTAAATGTTGTCTCCAAGGAAGATGCGCTAGATTTTATCGAGCATGATCAGTCTCATAATACTGATTAAGGTTGGAACCTTTTCTTTTCATTAATATGTTTACTAGAGGGCATAAATTTCTTTTTTGATAATACTGTTTTAGTAAACAAGCCCACCTCCCAATATGTACTTTCCCTTTACCCCAAGCTTCCCCGCATTTCTTTCGTGTACTTTAGTTCTCCATCTCTATGTTTTGAGCCAACCGTTGTTTGTTGGCATGTGCAGAAAAGTCCCATGTAAAGAACACAAGCTGAATGGAGGCTGTGGAATCTTTACTTGTTAGTTGTCAGTGTAAAGATTAAATGCTATAGATAGCCTGGAGTGATGTGGATCTCGTATAATGTTTAGGTCTTGCTGTGAAATCATAGGGCTGTACAGTGCTAAAGAAGTCAACATGAAGTTGTTTTACCTTTATTTGCTGGTGCCTGCCTGGTAACTTATAATGAATGTGATGATATATGTATATGGAGCCTTAGGTGCTAAGCTTGGTAGGCATTGAATCTCCTTAGTCTTTGTGGTCAGTCTTAAATGAAGTTGGCTAGTTATCTATAAATCAAATTGAAATTTATGTTCATATTCAATTTTATGTTATATATGGAATGATTGTGGATTGTGATTGCTTTACATAAATTGTTGAAAATATATTTGTCAAGGGCACCTTTTGTCTTTTCCTATTAGTAAATAATGGTAATGCCCGTGCATGATTGCTTTATTAGCTACTAAATTACCTTTGGTTTTCCTTTTCGAATTTCAACCGTTGGTTTATTTGTTTATCTGTTCTATACTCCACAAGTGAAAGTGTGCAACTACAAGTCTAGAAATTGCCAGTATTCCTATTTCATGCTCTCCTTTCCGATGATCACTCTTCCAAAATGTGTAAGAAAGCCAGGAGAGTATTTTTAAAAATTTATCAGAGTGGTCGGCCACTTAAAAATAAACCAGATAAATGTGCAGAACCCACTTAATTTACAAATGGATGTTTTCATTCCAACCTCGTGGATTCAATCCTTGTATTTCTTGTGCAGAATTACTGCTATTATCTTACGTGATGACAAAGCAAAACCTCCTTTCATACGCCATTGGAATGGCAAACAAGACTTTTAACTGCTACTGTCAAGTTAAACTAGAAAGGATAAAAATCCAAAAAACAAAACGAAACTAAAGACTACCGCTTAGACAAGATCAGACGCCCGAGGCTAATTTGTTGGCTAGACAGGCTTGGTTGTGAGACCAAAACCAAAGGGGTAGAGAGGGTCGTAATGAGGATCACCGACGTTCATTGGGAGCTGATCCGCAGTCTTGAACCAGGTTCTAGGCAGTTTTCCGGTGAACCCGTAGTCTCCAAAAAGAACATCAGCAACCCCTTGGCCTTCCGACCCAGGCAGCCACGCTGCAACGAAAGCATCTGCTTGGTCAAGATGGGGCAGTACCTCCAGAGGTCTCCCGGAAATTAGAACAACCACACACTTGATATTCGCACAGACATTGTATATTGTATATTGACTTTGCTCAGGAATTGTCAAGTTCATACTGTCTCCTTGTCCCTCAGCATAGGGAGGCTCTCCAACAACAACAATGGCATAGGAGAAGTTTTTGGACTTGACAAAATCCATGTCAGGATTCTCTTTGAAGACGATTTTTGTGTCAGGGTCTACAGCTGCTGAAATACCTTCGAGAATGGTGGTTCCTGTTGATTTAAAACACATATAATGCTTTCGTTAAAAACTAAAGTGTTTGCTGATGATAGAGTTAGTCGCTACTTAGTACTGAAATTTAACAGAAGGAACACTTACCAGCAGTGTGGTTTCCGCTAAGTCCTTGCCAAGAGATAGTCCAACCACCGCATTGATTACCCAAATCATTGGCATGGCTTCCAGCAACCAAGATCCTAGATGCCTTCTTGGGAAGGGGTAGCACAGCATCATCTGCATTTTCTCCATTCTTCAACAAAACAAGCGATTTTCTGACAGCCTCCCTTGCCAATTCTCGATTAGCCTGTTTCAGAACACACGTATTAATTTTGCTGACCCGAAGCTTGTTCTTAATGTTAATGTTACCAGAATCTCGGGAAAAGCATGTTGATTAATAACCTGGCTTCCAAGCTCATCCACAAAGCTTTCATCAGCCATGGGGTTCTCGAATAAACCAAGTTTGTATTTCACTCTCAAAATCCTCCTAACAGCATCGTCAATACGGCTCATGGGAATGAATTTGTCTTTGACAAGTTTAGTCAAAGTGCGAATAAACTCGGTATGGTTGAAGGGAATCATAACCTGGAAAGCAAGCAGAAGACGACCGTAAGGAAACTAACCAGTTTATTCTTATGGAAGGAACAAAAAAAAGATTTCAAAAATTAACAGGCCAGAGCTCCTCACCATGTCAATGCCAGCTTGAACCCCAGCCAGAACTGAAAATGTATAGTTTGAATGGGGAGTAGCTGTAATCTTATCAATACCCGCCCAATCAGTGATGACAAAGCCCTGCAATTTGTACGTGATGCAAAAGATCATAAGATTTTTGTTTTGCTCCAGTTGTCATTAATTAGTGATATAGTAAAATTTACCCTGAACCTAAGGGTGCCCTTGAGGAAATTGGTGACAAGGTCGTGGTGAGCATGCATTTTCTCTCCATTCCAGCTAGAGTAGGAAACCATGACTGTCGACACTCCTTTAATGATGGACTCATAATAACCTGGCATGTGAATGCTCAGCAATCCATGCCTATCAATCACCGTGTTGTTTTCATTGATGCCATTGGTTGTGCCACCATCACCCACAAAGTGCTTGGCACAAGCTGCAACCTTGTCCCTTTTCCAAAGCACAAAAGACAAAAAAACAAAAAAAAGGACGAAGAAAGTTTATAAATAGACGAAATTAATGAAAGAGCAAACCCATTAACAATCTTCAATCTTCTCGGAGATTCATAATGAAAGAGCAAACTCAATAACAATCTTCAATCTTCTCAGAGATTCATACTTTGCGCATTAACTTACTTTCCACCAATGTAAGGAACACCCTTGCGTGAATTCTGAGGGATTTCACCCTGCAATCCATTTATGATTTCCGTCATTTCCCTGACGATCTCAGGATCTTCACTGTAACTCTCATAACATCTACCCCATCTGGGGTCTCGACAGACCTATCATTCATAAGAATTAACAAATCAACCGCACTTCAATTTGTGTAACCTTGAAATATTTGAGAAGTTGGGATATAATTTCTGTGAATAGAGAAACGAAGCACAACTTATGGTCAAATATTCCTTTACCGCAACGCATGGTGCAAATGCATAATTTATGCCAGTAGCTCTAACTTCAAGAGCCGTCGCAGCACCAATCCTCCTCACAAGCTCGGGATCCCTGGTTAATTTGTCCAAGATTAATAAATAATGAGAGTAACCGACAAAACACAGACTTGTCCTTGAAAATTTTTGACAGGAAGTTAACTTGTTCTAGAAATAAATAAATAAATGGTGTTACCTTGTAGCACCAAGGCCAATGTTATGAGGAAATATGGTGGCCTTGTAAACATTGTTCTGTCCATGCACAGCATCAATGCCATAAATCATTGGGATCCCAAGCCTGCTTGAGAGAGAACCATTTTGGAAATTATTAACCATTTTGATCCAATCCTGTGGAGTGGCCTTAGGACGAGGCACACTTCCTCCGCCGCTTAGGACGCTTCCTATCCCGTAGTCCCGCATGATCTTTGGAGTGGCCGCAGCACGGTCAATTTGCACCATCTGACCAATCTTTTCCTCTACAGTCATTCGTTTCATGAGGTCCCTAATCCGAATGTTCGTGGGCAGGCTGGGGTCCTTGTACTTCATGTGCTCAGTTCTTGCTTGTGCGGTGAGTGCCAAGAAACTGAAGAGAAGAAATAATCCCACTAAGGGGACCGGTACTCTTGCCATTTTCTTTTGCTTTATGAGCTAATCTTTGCTTCTGTGACAAAATAACAGACCACAGTCCATTCAGACTCGATGTCTAAAACACGGAGGAAAACAGAAAAAAAAAGAAAGGCAACAATTTGCTGCAAATGATTAACAAGGCAACAATTAGCTGCAAATGATTAAACACTTGAAACATCTTCCATCCAAGTTTGGGAATAAACTTGCATTTCGATTTTCTCGACAAATATACATTGTTCTAAACTAATGAACAAGTTTTATCGAAAAGGAATGTAGAATTTAGTACTGGAAAAACAAAATCATACTCAAACCTTGCTGCTAAGGAACAAAAGGAAAAAGAGGAAAAGAACCTTCAGAATGGTTAACAGATAGCCTAAGAAATATCTAAAGGAGTATGTTCAAGTTGTTACACAGGCATGGTCATGCAGTGGGGATTTATGGAGATAATGTTGGTATGGAATGAGGATTAGATAAACTCAAGCAAGATGCATCTGTTTTACTTACTGGATTAGATAAAGTTACCTACAATTTTGGTTGGTTTGTTTAGATTTGCTTCGCTATAAAATGATTGTGCTTCTAAACTTCAAAAGCAAAAGATTTATTTACGATTAGACCTAGAAAGCTTTTTCATTTTTGCAAAGTAATACCACTCCACTCGAAAAATCAAATGTCAACAGTTTGCTAAAAGTGTTGCTCTTATTGCCTCTCTCCCTATGGCTGTGTGATAAAGAACAATACATTTTTGCACTTCAGAAAAGTACATATGATTTCCAGCGTGGAGAGGAGGACATGTGTCTAGTAAGATATGGTCCTTTGGATTTTCTCATGGCTAAAATTTCATGTTACCCATAGACAGAGCAATCAATTTTCCCATTGCAATTGGGGTGCACACAATTTGCAAATCTGTTCTTCACATTAAAAGTTTGAAAAGAAGATTGTCATCCCTCTTAAACGTTTCTCGACCACTTGATACAAGATTAATAAGTAGAAATTGTGAACTCTTCAATGAAGAGGGACAATATCTAACAAGTTTCTACATGTAAAAATCGGAAAAAGAAGTCAAATATAAAGGAGCAAGCTCCAACGTGATTTTAGTTCTGCTTGGTAGGTTTAGTAGTCAAACCAAATCCAAATGGGAAGAGAGGGTCGTAATGTGGATCGCCAACATTCATAGGGAGCTGGTCAACAGTCTTGAACCATGTCCTTGCAAGCTTGCCGGTGAACCCATAGTCACCAAACAGAACATCAGCAACACCTTGGCCCTCAGTTCCTGGAAGCCAAGCAGCTACAAGTGCATCGATTGATGAGAGATAGGGCATCATGACAACGGGGCGGCCAGAAATGACAACAACAACACATTTCACAGCCCCACAAACATTGTAAATAGTGCTTGGTCCAGGCTCAGATATTGTAAGATTCAGGCTGTCACCAAATGTTTCTGCATACGAGGGTTCTCCCACAACAACAATGGCATAAGAAAATTTGTTGGACTTGACAAAATCTGCATCAGGGTTCTCACTGTAGACAACTTGAGTGGTTGGATCAACCGTTTTTTTAATAGCCTGGAGGATAGTGGTACCTGTTCATGCAGATTGTATTCAGTTAAATCATTCTAAATTTACATTTTGAGAAAATTTCCAATTGATAACACCCTGACAATTAAGGATCGGTTTGCACATTTTGCTGATTGATTGTTTCTTCCGTGATACCCGAGACATAAGCCATAGAACATAAGGGCTTCAACTATGATTAAACTAAGCAAAACTGATGTTATATTTCAGTTTTAGCTAGGCCCTCAAAATAGGGTGGTTGATAACACTGGCAAAAGCACACTAACAATCACATGACATTTACCACCGGGATTGATTTCAGACAATGAAATCGGTGCCTGATATCTTTTTAGTTAATTAAGTGGCTCTCCTATTAATTTGGAGCTCCTGTTCTATTAAGTTCCAAGCATGTCACCATATTGTGTGCCTATGGCAATAAAAATACTACTCACACAGAAGTCCAAGTGCACCAAATTGGGAAAATCTTTTAACAGAGACAAGGAGGTAAATTTCCCTGTCTCTTAAATGCTTTTCTGGGTCAGTATTTATCAAAACCTATATGTCTTTAGTGTTATAAGTGTAAATTTAAAGCATACCACTTGTGAGATCATTGCCACTAAGACCCTGCCATGTAATGGTCCAGCCTCCACATTGATAGCCCAGGTTATCAGCATGACTTCCAGCAACTAGTATCTTGGTTGTTTTCTTGGGAAGCGGTAGCAATGGCTCATCAGCAGACTCACCATTCTTCAATAGGACAAGAGTTTTCCTTACAGCTTCCCTTGCCAACTCCCTGTGTTCCTGTTCAAAGCACATTATTCATTTAGTGAAGACTTTTTGCTTTCCTCTTTGCTTGTAAATGAAGATAAATGAAGAGAGTCCGAGTCCATATGTAACAACAGAATAGATTCGATGTACCTGACTCCCAAGTTGGTTAACCAGGCTGTAATCAGCCATTGGATTCTCAAAGAGACCCATGACAAATTTAACCCTCAAGATCCTCTTCACAGCATCATCAATCCTGCTCATAGGAATGATATTGTGCTTGACCTGATAGGTTAGGTCATCAATGAACTCTGTGAAGTTATAAGGAACCATAATCTGCACAACATCCAGAGACATATTAGAAAACAAGAGGGTGAAAGATGAATGTAAAAATCTTAAATGCTTGAAGGAATGTACCATATGCTAAAAAAAATTGTGCATTGATGGCATCAAATTTTTAAATTGCATTGACATTGATAATAGTAATAAATATTGACTGACCATATCAATCCCTGCACTGACTCCAGCTTCTACAGAATATGAGTAGTTAGCATGTGGAGGAGAGGTAATCCTATCAAGACCCTGCCAATCTGATATAACAAAACCCTGAAATACACCCAAAGCAATGCATCAAACCAATGCTTTAAACTGATTTTAGTAAATAGAAACAAATTTAGTTCAAGTTATTTTTTGTTACCCTGAACTTAAGCTTGTTTTTCAGGAACCCAGTCACAAGATCACGATTAGCATGCATCTTTTTCCCATTCCAGCTAGAATAAGATACCATAACAGTTGCAACACCCTTTCTGATGGAGTTAATATATGCAGGCATGTGGATGCTGAGTAATCCATTCAAGCTAATCACAGTATTGTTCTCATTGATGCCCTTTGTCGTACCTCCATCCCCCAAATAGTGCTTAGCACAGGCTGCCACCTTTTTCCTAACAAAGTAATTAATTGATTAGGAGAAATTATTACTTTCGAAGTTAAAAGTTCAGACTTAATCAGACCAAATTGATTAATTACTTCATGCCTAATTTGAAAATATACGTTAGGAGAACATACTTTAAATCTGCACAACTATTTTAACATGACACATTTTTTCCCAGCGGTAAAATTCAGCAGCTATTGATCCACTGAATCAGGTAAATCTGTAAAGGGAATTGTCCACTTTATGCTAAGCTGGTGTTTGTGCTACCAGACAGAATGCAAAACCCCCAAAAAAGAAAATGAATGATTAAAACTGGAAAATACATAAAGCCCAATATGGAAGCTGGGGCAAACATTTTGCTTGAGTTTTACCCTGCCTTCTGCATAAAGCACTGGATGGCTGACCACTATAGCAGAGTGTTATAAATCTAATGGAGCAGACACTTTCCAAGACCAGATCAGATGATGTAACCTCATCTAACTAACAAGGTATGAAATTGAAGTGTTAGATGGACCTAGAACTTTGCTTTCATTATTCAAGTCGGGTTTTATATTTAGATGACTAAATGGCCCACAATGAGAGCCTGCCACATGATTACACCTATAGATGTCCAAAAGAATAAAGACAAATTTGGGACACTTGCCGGTTGAGAAATTGCCATCATAACTAATATTTTCCTTAGTAGGAACGTTAGAGTTATCAGGTGACTGTTTATAGAGCCTGCCACATGATTACACCTATAGATGTCCAAAAGAATAAAGACAAATTTGGGACACTTGCCGGTTGAGAAATTTCATAACTAATATTTTCCTTAGTAGGAACGTTAGAGTTATCAGGTGGCTGTTTATAGTAAAGACTTACTTTCCAGCAACAAAGGGAACACCCTTTTTAGCATTGGCAGGGAGGTCTCCTTGTAAACCAGGTATAATCTCAGTCATCAACTGAACAATCTTATGATCCTCACTGTAGCTTTCATAGCATCGACCCCACCTTGGATCCCTGCAAACCTGTGAAAGATTTGACAGCAGAAGTAAAAAGAAAAGAACAATCAGACACATGGTCTAGGCCACAATAATCAGCATTCAAGCATGTTCCTGTGTTTTAATTACCGCAATGCATGGGGCAAAAACATAGGGGATTCCTGTAGCTCTAACTTCAAGAGCAGTTGCATCACCGATCTTCTTGATAAGTTGAGGATCCCTGTAGATAAAAAGAAGTTTAAATAATTCCAACCAAGAATTGTAAAACAATTGATTTGACTTTAATAGATGGGCAACGCAGAAAGAAAGCACTCCTAGCTCTCCATTCAAATTACAACAATATTTCCAATTGCTTTATTGATAGGATAAGAAAACTCAACACCATTATAAACCTTCTCAGTAATCTTCATTCTGGAAATCCCCGAATATCCATATTCTTAATAGTTCAAGAATTAGAGTAGCATAGAATACCAAATTCATGGGAACATCATTTAATTATTGTAACGATGACGAAGTTCTCAATTGTTTAAATTTTCATCCACTAAATTTAATATTACCATTTTGGTCTATGCAGGTTAAACGATTTGAATCTCGAAGCACCACTTCAGTTCAATAATAAGACACTTAATTCAAGTTAGGAAAACAACTTTCTATATAACAAAACAAAAATGAAAGTTCATACTTCAAGGTAAAATATACAACCTTGATTAAACATAAAAAAAAAAAATTCAAAGAACATGTTTGCCTCAAGAGCATGACTTGCCTGGTCACTCCAAGACCAACGTTATGAGGAAAAATAGTGGACTTGTACACATTGTTGTGGCCATGAACTGCATCTATCCCGTATAACATTGGAATCCCAAGATGGGTGGATAATGCCCCCTTTTGGATTGAGTTCACCATCTTAATCCAAGTCTCAGGAGTAGCTTTTGCAGCTGGTACACTCCCTCCTCCGCTCAAAACGCTCCCTACACAAACCAAAGAACATTCATTTACAACACAACTCGTTTGTCATAAACAGTAGCAAAAAGCAAGACATTCATTTAGATAAGAAAATAAAAAAGGAATATTATCCTATACACCGGTAGCAGAGTTAAAGTTTTTAAGTGGACTTATATACACTTACAACTTATCCATTAACAGTAAATAAGAA